TCGGCCGCCGAGGCTCGAGTAGTAGTGGGGAGACAGTAGGCGTCGCCTCAGAAATCGGCCCGAAATGTGCAACTAATTCCGAGCACTGACATATATGGATGTGATTGATGTGGTACTGCACTATTCGATAAAATAATGAAACAGTATATTACATTTCGCATAAAAATTGATTGCAACAAAGGACGATTACAAAATAAGAATTATATAGTAGTAAAACTATGACTAGGCATGCTGCTATTAAATGATATAATTTACTTATATCATTTTAATGTATTTATAAGTAATTAAATTAGAAGATATGTTTACTTATGAATACTATTAAAATTTATTTGTATTTGTATTTTTACATTAAATAAAATGTTAAAAACAACTTTATTATCTCATTGTTCTGTTTCTACTAATTGAATAAAACTGGTGCTGTTTAATAATAATGCTGTTATTAAATGATATAATTATTTATTTATGAATACAATTAATTGAAATTATATTTGTATTTTCACATTAAAAAAATTGTTAAAAACAGCTTTATTACATTATTGTTCTATTCTTATCCCTGCTTAAAATTTTCTATAGAAAACTATTAAGAAAATTCTATAATTTTTAATGAGCGTTTTGAATCGGTAAATCCCAATCCGCAATAGTTTTCTATTATTATACTCATAGAATCTTATTGATAACTGTAGAGCTTCTATAGTCGCTCTCGTGCGCTACTATAGAAACTTGTTGTACCTCTCGGTGCAACAAGATATTATTTTGGGATTCGTTCCGCTCAAAGGGTTGGGACCCACGAGGAAAGACGAGGATAGTAAAAAGGTCGTCGAACAATCACTCACTTCACCACACTTCTATTTAAAATAACCCTTTTTATTTCACAATTTGATAATTGATTACAAATGTTGTACCCCTTTATTCATATAATTATTTATTACTAAAGATTACAATGCTTTTTAGTAACTGTAACTTTCATTTAATTAATACAGTTGTTGAGTTAAATGAATATATTTTAAAGTTATCGCTCGTGACTTATGAATAAACCGGTCGGCGACGTTATCGCGGATGTTACTTGACTCGGTTCTCGCGACGCGCGTAACGTATCGTCACGTTTACATTTCAAGACAAGACTCTGCGCTCGGTATTTAGGCGGTCGCTTATATTGGGCGCATTCAGCAGAAAAGAGCGCTACGAGAGCGCTCGCTGTTATTGGTATATTCTTCCGGATTTAAAATTCTGATTGGATGATCTAGAAGAATACACCAATAACAGCGAGCGCTCTCGTAGCGCTCTTTTCTGCTGAATGCGCCCATTGATGATACCGATAATCATATGGGCTGCTGGTGAAGTAGCAAGAGTTTTAGAATTGCCAATGACTAAACAACGTGTGCAGCAAATACTACAGCAAGATAAAAGGTTAAAGTGGACAAAGGTCATTGAAGCCACCTCTTACACAAAGTCGTAAAACTGCAAGATT